CACACTAATAAACAGAAAGGAACATAGGACAAGTGAAACGACCGCGAGCACGCTATGAGCGTGGTATGTCACTATGTTCTTACATGACAAGCGTGTCAGGATTATCATGTTTCCACTATAGCCATATACTTTCGTCATCCATTGACGTCATTTAACACCAAATTTGGTAATTGTGGAGCTGGCAAAACGGCAGTGAGCGCATCATGAAAGGCCATAATATACTCCAATGTAGCGTTGACGCGCGCGCACACTGGGCACAGCGACGCTACGTTAGCAAAACGCGAGCACTCTAGAGTCTGACGCCAGTACGACAAGTGTACGGCCAGCGTCCGTCAGCGTAGCCCGACGGCAACCGGTGCGAAATTCTACATGCTTCATTCGCACTGATGCGTTACCCAGACAACGCTGCGTCTCCCTCTTTTCGGGACGGAGGGACGCCGGACGAGCTGAAATGCGCATGCGTCAAAGCAACGCAGCGCAGCGCGCGCTTGCGAGTGTATGGCAGGACCGGCGCGCGGCGTGGCAACGCCGGCGTGACACGACGAAATGAACGCCGGCGAGCACGCACACCACTTATAAATGTATTGGCGTCTTGACTGTGGCATGTAGTCATGTTGTTACATGACACGCATCTTATGTTTATCATGCTTGCACCGGTATCATACCTTCGTCCTCCATTCACGTACTGTAATACCAAATTTGGTATATGTGACACCTAGTCATGGCCGCGAGCGCATCATGGCCGCGAGCGCATTATGAGCGTGGCATGTTGTCATGTTGTTACATGACACGCATGTCATGATTTTCATTTTAGTGTCTGTCGCTTGTATTCGCCATGCAATCATGACATACCATACCAGTTTTCCAACATGCCATATCAACGAAACCACCGCAAAAGCTGCAGGACCATGAAATGTAAATCATAACATTCATGACATACATGTCATGATTTTCATGTTATTACTAGTCAAATATGTTCTTTATACAGTCAGGTTATGCCATATCAAGTTTGGTATCGATGCCATTATCGAAACGGCCTGGAGAGCTAAAAGTAGTAGGCGGATGGATGGATGGATGGATGGATGGATGGATGGATGGATGGATGGATGGATGGATGGATGGACGGATGGACGGATGGACGGATGGATGGATGGATGGATGGATGGATGGATGGATGGATGGATGGATGGATGGATGGATGGATGGATGGATGGACGGACGGACGGACGGACGGACGGACGGATGGACGGATGGATGGATGGATGGATGGATGGATGGATGGATGGATGGATGGATGGATGGATGGATGGATGGATGGATGGATGGATGGATGGATATGCTCAAAGTCGCTAAGGTTCACTAAAAAATGCTTCGCATTTAAAAACCACCCATTCAAATTATTCAAGTTTAGGTACTCTGCCGCCACTTGCTCCGCTTAGTGCGAAGAGATTATACCCATCCGCTTTGTGAAAAACTCATTCAAAGGAACTGGCGAATCGGTGACACCTTGAGATCTTATGAGGTCACACTTCAACAAGAACAATATTTCTTACGTCCAGATATCAGTTTTCCTTCTTGGCAGCTTGTATCTTTAACAGTCACTTTGAACCTAAAAAAAACAGAACAAAATTGTAATAAACCACCTTGCAGAACTTTATCACGCTTGAACCAATGTGCAGTTATCGAGACCGTTTCACATTCGTTTTCACTGACGGATCCACAATGGATGAAAGCTCGACTGTGGATTTCCACGTACCCGCATGTAATATAGAACGAATTTTTATACTTTCTTGAATGACATCGTGTACAGCAACGGAACTTGTTGCAACATTACAAGCTTCAAAATTTATTGTTGAAAAGCCAGCAAAGGTAAAAATGGGTAACATATTCCGACTCCAAAAGAGTGCTACAAATAATTAAGGAAGTAATTTTCAATTAGACAATAACATATTATACGAAATTTTAAAAACAGTCACCATCGCCTATCTGGACGGTCACGAGACCTATTTTCAGTGGCTTCTAAGTCACGTAGGAGTGATGGGAAACGATATTGCTCACAAGTAAGCCACTGCAGCTGTGAAGGTGCTGACACCCCGTGTGAAGCTGTTTGCGCCGCGTGGCGCACTTATCTCGCGCAGAAGCCGTATTTCGGAGTCAGTCAGTCAGCGAACTTTATTCACAAATTGTCCTGAGGAGCCGACGCTCCTCAAGAGGGCGGGTCGGCTGTGGTCTGCATCCACGTTGGCACATGTAGGTTGCGCCCCTCCCCCTAACTGCGGGCCCTCCGGACAGCCCGATTTTGGACCTCCTGTCCGAGCTGGTGATTGCAGTCTTCCAGGCGTCCTCTGTGCTGAGAAGCTCGCCATCGAGCAGCGCCCTGCATTGCCAGAGCATGTGGGATAACGTGCATCGTCTCTCATCGCAATGAGGGCAATGAGGCTTATGCTGTCAATAAACCTACTGTAAACTAAGGGCGACGGACAAGTACCAGTTTGCAGCATTCGTAAAGTGATCAACGGGGCCCTCGAGAGTTGCGGGTGCGGGGGCGGGAACGTATGCCTGGACAGTAGATAGTGCTTACATATTTCCTTAAAGGTGAGGAGGGAATCAAGCTGTTGGATGGCTTCCCTCAAATTAGAGGCTGAATACCCGTCATGGTGGGACAGTGCGCGTGCGCGGGCACAGTCAGACTCATTTGCATTAGAAATAACAGGGTGGACATCCTTGCACATGTGGGCAGGAAACCAGGTGATGTGACCATTGATTGCAGTGCAATTTGAAATTTTGGCAAGAATAAGGGCCGCCTGCTCACAAACTGACCCCGTCATGAATGCTCGTACAGTAGTTCGAGAATCAGTGAAAATGCACGTGTTTGAGGGAATAGTCACAGCCAGTGCTATAGCAGCCTACCACTATTGAGCGGTAGATGGCATTGTGTTCGCGAGAGTTGATCACCACTATCATCATCATGGTTACATCGGTAGCGCCGGTGGTGATCCTTAGCGGCAAGTCTAGGTGGCGGCACGAGAGAATGAAGCGAGTCTCTCCGGCTGGTGGCGTTTGGCACGAACGGTTGTCTCTCACAGGGGGGACCCCAATTCACGGAACCGCGGGCCGTCTGCCGAGGGCCATTGTGGTTAGTCAGGCGTCAGTGACACCGCCTTGTTTGTGATATTGTTGAGTGTTGTCGCTTGTGTAATATTGTGTAAGGCTGTTTAGCGTGTGGATCACAATTATATATCTTAAGTCGGCTGTTGATATCATCGATCAAAAGCAGTTAAATAAGTGTGAGTTGTTTGGTTTGTTCCGATCGTGTCAACGGCATCCATTTACTCCAAGAGCCTGGCGTGCTCCTCTATTTCAGACCCACACAGCACACAAAAAAGTTCACTTGAAAAACAGTGTACGTTAATTTCTCCGAAAGCCAGAATATTTTTTTCCGAACTGCGCCAGAAATAGTGCAAAGACGCTAGGTTTGATGAAAATACAAAACCTTCAATCTTATATCAAATTGATCCGTTTCTCCGATTTACACCCAATCAAAAGGTCAATAGACAATTCGGTCTTCACTACTACACAGTCCACGATTAGGTGTTACATACACACTTCACTTCTTATGCCGCATTAAACGAACGCCCGCGCTGTGATCGTGTCGATGCTTTAGTGGAGCATATCTTTATAGAATGCCTGCAATACGATGAACAGCACGCTCAGTTGAGTGATCGACCTAATGGCTTCGACAGGTGGCTGTTCACAATTGACAAAGTACTCAGACAGTGGCCACATTCCGATAATCAAAAGCACGCTAAGGGCGCACTTCGCGATTTTTAGCGGGGACCGATTCAATTAACTGTATTTAGTCCTTATTACTCCCTGCCATTATTTGTACGCACTTTATCCACGATTTGATCACGCTGTATGGACTGCACTATGCCCATATACTGTGCCCATGCGTTATAAACACTATTTTTTACATACGTATGTACATAGTGCCTCCTGTTATTTATTTTCTTTTTTTCTTAACTATTCGTACCTGCCTGCGTATCTTTACATTACTGCCATGATGTTGGGATAGCCGGCTCTAACTTAGCCCACCTCGCCATATTTTTTATTTAAATACAAAGAAAGAAATAAAAGGATCGCAGATGGCGGTCACTTTGTTGGCCTACTGCCAACTTAACAGTTGGCGGTCTGCGCTCGTGTTGTTTTGTGCGTTGTTAAACTCGTGTTCCGGTCATTTCACGCAGTTTAAGAACTTCTAACAGAAATGAACCAACTAGCCCGCCATATAATCTCACTGAAGTGTCAATACCAGCATTATGAGGTCGAGAGTAAGCCACAGCGGTGACGAACAACGTCCAGTGATTAATCAGCGTAACTGATAGACACAGGTGGGGGTCGAAGCCGCTTACGCGAAACCACAAATGTCGTAGTCAAGCGAGTAAAGGAGAGTCAATATGGCACAATAAATAGAGCCCCATGTCAAGATTTTGCAACATAGTAAAATGTATCTTCTAACTTCAGGCTTTAAGCGCGAGGTGCTATTTTTTCAAGTTCGAAAGAATATTTATGTATAGTACCTTTGGCAGAAAAACATAGCTGTCATGCAAAAGATCATTCGCAAGAAATTGACATTTTTTCCGTAATTTACGCAATAGGATATGAACATATATAATAAGCGTAATTAGTATGACGTGTGGATTCTAAAAGATTAAAGATTGTGTTCACCCGTTTTCCCGCGCTTTTTTCAATCGGTTGACAAAATTTACACGCGAGAAAGCAGTCTACTCCTCTTAGAGGCAGCACTATTTGGAAAGAGGCTTTTCATGTGTTAGTCAGCAGCCTATATTAGGCTCAGCTGAAAATAACATGTATTCTGAGCGGCCGAACTAGCTGCAGAAAGGCACCTTTGCGCCATAAACGCTACAGAAACGTGAAGGTGTGCCATAGTCCAAAGTTCTTTATTCAAAACGATAAATTCACAGGTCCAAGACGTAATGTACCCGTCTGCAAAGCATTTATTTCCATTGGCGTCAACTGTTTTACTTGAGTGTCAGTTTAAAGTGAGTCGCTTGTCTCTCTTACAGTGCAGGCGTAGCAGAGTGTACCGGGACCACTCTGTTTTATGTTTTAAACTCCCGCACTTTGGCCTTGCAACAAACGGCCTGCACACTACTCAGTCATCAGTTGTAATGTTCATCGAATTCTTCCCAAGAGTGCAGTAGCCCTTCTTGCAAACGCCAGTTCTGTACACTCCCGTTCTTTTTCCTAACTTCTCTATGTTCGATGTACGACTGTACTCCAGCTGAAAGACGAGCAAGAAGGAAGATGTAATTCATTCATTGCATTCACGTTCTCGCACGCGTAAGTCTTGGCTGAAAAGGTGATGCAGCGCAAATGAGTTATCGAATGTTTATATTACAGAAGAAGATATGTTTCGGGTAAACGCGTCTGCATTCGTTGTTGTCATTGTCGTTAGTGTAATTGTTGTCCTCGTCGTTTTGTCTCTTTATTTTTCTAATATGAGTGTATTTTAGTGCAGGGAGAAAAACTCAACCACAAAAAAATTGGAAGCGTATCGACGTGCTTCGTTGCAAATGTCATAGAAAGACGACATTCTTCTGCCGGCCATGATTTTGTGCCTACCGTCGCATGTTTAGTGCACGTAAGAAACACTAGGGTGTTTAGAAACACGTGTGAACGTATTTTCTAGTACAGAAACACACCACAGAATACTTACGTATTGATGTTGCACCTCAGCTATGCTTAATGTTTGCTTTGTGTTTGACAATGTCCGCAAGTACGAACAAAGCCACCAGTTCAAGATGGCTGGGTCTTCAGCAAGTGCCTGAACTTAGGTCGGGTGGCTTTATCGGGTAACATACAGACAGGCAGGCAGACAGAAAGGAAGACATACAGACTAAACGTTCTGTCTGGAAGTATCCAAAGAAAGGCTATTGTCCTTACAGTCGTCCATAAAATGTAGTGTACATGGCGAGTGGCATTTATGAGATGTCTCCTTCTTGTGTTTTTAGTTTCCCCGACTGTAAATCTCAGCAGCGGTATAGTGCTGCCTAAGTATGTGCTCAAGAATGCACCAACTACCCTAAAGAAGAGCTTTAATCCGACAAGTATAGCTGATATGGGTCGGCGAGCAGCTGTAAGCGTACGCTATTGTGTTCCAAGTATTTGGGTATGATTATTATCATTAGCACAGCGATGTTAGTCATCTGGAGTAGAGCTTTATTGACAAGAAAACGGGTATTCTCTAGGACAGTACTCCTTTATATCATGTAGTCTCTTATTCCTCTCGGTTTACTGCACTGTTCCGCATCATGCAGTAACTATTATTGCACCACCACTGTGGCTCGCACGATGACCGACACAGCCTCTTCAACAATCTTCAGAACCGACACAGACTGTTCAGCAATGTCGATACACACATAGCAATACATTCGCATTTACACTTATCAGTCTGCCGAACAATTCTAGTAAGTAATCCTTTATTTCTTCTGTAACATTACAGAAATGTGGCAAGAGCAAAAGGCACAATGACCTCACAGAGGCTCCTGCTTCGTTGACAGATTTGGCTGTAGCGAATGAATTATTTGCACGATAAAGGCATGCCATACGTTATCATCTTACAATATAATACAATAAGCAGCATATGACGTCAGCTAATAAAATATATACAAAAGTTGAAAACATTGTGTGATTCAAGTTGTACGTCACTAACATCAGTAGCACTCCATTAGCAGCCCACTTGAGACGACTAGGAGGATTGAAACGAAGTCAGCTGTATTCAATCTTTTTAATTAACATTGATTTGAACAAATTCTTAGTGCGTTCGGTCAATTCTGGATGATTTAGTAATGCCGGGATCTGACAACTAATGGGCTGTCTGCCATAATGGCTTCTTGTCAGCGTGGTTCGAATTAGTGTCTTACACAGCAGATAATGAGCGTGCTCTTATGGCTCATATGCGATGGGCAGTTTATTAGTTTTTTGTGTTGTAATAATTCATAATAGTACAACAACAGTATACTCCGTATGATGGAAAGCCTTTTTTATGGTCGTTTCTTTTTCTTTCTTAGAAAGCTAGAAATTTTTCTACGGATCATGATGATCTCAAGAGTACTATAGCCTTTTGTAATGACCTTGAGTTTCATTTTTCGTGAATGCTTTCTTGTGCTTTGCTCATAATATTATTTCCTTGTTTTGGCATCGACGGAAGACTGTTGTATGCAGTGCGCTGCCCGTGTATTCACCTAACACCCATCGGAAGATTCGAAGCTTGAGTCCTATCACTGGTGATGACAAATATGCCCGCTTATGCCCTCTCATTCAAAGTAATATAGCTTGAAACTTAGATGTCCGAGTCCTAATTGGCCAAAGCTGAGAATGTTCCATTAACGCCAGGCTTGCACGAACGAAGAGTAACGGTAAGTTCCTTATAAAATACGAATAATTATTATAAAATGCTCAACCAAAATATTTTCTTTATTCTATAGTATTCAACAGTATTTTGCTGCAACTTGTGTTATTGGTGAATTACCTGAATTAGACCAGGAAAATTTACTAACTGAATATGCGCGCTTCCGAATCAGCAGTCGCACTGCAGCGTGTCATGTACCGCGTGTGAAAATTTAACAAGCTCACCAAGCATTTGACACCGTCCGCGCGATGTTCGAACACGGTGTAGCTGCATTCAACCTGGCAGGAAGCCGCCACGATGAGCTGTAATAAGAACGCAAGCATCTGTATGTACTTTTTGTGCTGGAGAAACCTTCACTCATGCTGCACGCTCCTCAAGTAACTGTTTTTGCTAGCAAATGTGATGTCAAAGACAGTAACTTGCACTTAAGTTTCGCCTGCCCATTTTTTAAATCAGGCATCACGTAATTTTCAGCCAACAATAAGTTTACCTTGTTTTGTTAACGTATAACACGAAAATCCCTGTATGCGACTACCTGCACCATTGTTCCTTGATGTGCGAGGCGTATACGATAACGTCTTACATCAGGCAACTCTCAATTTATTTAATGCAGTTGACGCCAGTGGCCCAGTTTTTTGGTGGATTGCTAGTTATCTGGCTGCAAGGTCCCTCGGTGTTAACCGATGGTGGCCCACCTGCACGACAATATACCTCCAGGGGCGTCCCTCAAGGTGAAATTCTCAGCCCTACGCTATTCAACCAGACACTTGTTGGTTTAGCTGCGTGCTTGCCAACTACCAATAAGATTTAAATATACGCAGATGACATCTGTGTCTGGACTTCGACAGTCACATGTACTCAGATACGTGCGTGGCTTCAAGAAGCTGCAACTTTGAAAGGGAGCTATTTGTGCAAACAAGGCCTGAGATTATCACCATGAAGATGCGCACTAGTGGCCATCACTCGCAGACCAATGACGTCTTATGTCCTCTCAATCAACTGGTGGCCCATTTGTTACGCCAGAACTCACAGGTTTCTTGGCGTAATCATTAACAACGACCTCTGCTGCAGCCCTAACTTGGCCTACACGAAGCAGCGCTTGATGACATTTCTCAGCTGTTCCTGTTCTTGGCAGAAAAGATGTGGCGTATGTCAGTAGATACGATTCTGAAACTCTACAGAGCGCCGTTCTTCAGTTTTCTGAGATATAGCCTGCATGTACTGAGCAGTACTTGCAAAAGAAATATGAGCGTTCTGTAGGCCGTTCAAGCGCAAACGCTCACAGTGAACCTTCATTTGCATAGATGTATACGTCAACAAAGGCAACTATTGCTATTGCTCATGACCGCCCAGTGCAAGCCCTATATATGGTAGAAGTTCTGAGAATGCACTTCAAAGCTTTTGCACGTACTTCCTGTCATCACTTTGCCGCACTGCCTTCAACAGACGCCTAGCATCGTCACTGCGGCTCTGGAGCAGCGCGCTCGCTTCCTTTGAAGGAGCGAGCGCGTGCCTGCAGATGGGCCGTGGCATCGTTGGCCAAAACTATTCTCAGTACAGCAACAAACTTCCCTCGGGCTTCACCACGGCATCTAAACCATCTATGTCTTACTGTTGCCTTGTTCGATTCACAGTCCATTTCAGTATACCAAAAATCTGGGAAAGTGAGCTGGCTTCGCCTGTGCTGAAGCAACTGCTTCAACTTCTTTTGTGCCAGAGGCATGCGGACAGTATACATATCTATATTGATGGTTCCCTAAGCTTTAACTTTTCGTCTGGTGCAGTAGTAGTCCCAGCAAGATCTAGTACTATCAGCTTTAGGACTGACCACCCCTTAACGTCAACAGCTACGGAACTAGCTGCTCTGCTCGCTGCATTTTGTTTGTCCAAAAGGGAACCACCTCAACAGTGCTCGATGTTTACCGACTCCAAGGCAGCCCTTCAAACTATACTATCGGCACTGCGTAGTGGACCATGCGAATAGCTCTCATTTTATATTCCGCAACTTTATTATATATTGCATGAGAAAGCCACGTGACGCTTCAGTGGCTTCCAAGTAACTGTGGCGTCACAGGAAACGAAAACGCTGATAATTCCGCTCGGGCTGCTCTTCACGGCTTAGATAAGGACACCATACCTCTTTCAAGATCTCACGAGACCAGCAGTCTTCGATGGCTTGCACAGGCGGTCACGCGATCTCTATGGTGCCCACCAAGCTGCCAGACCAACCGGACCAACCATTAGCACCACTGGCACTCTTTGATGTATTTATATGCCAAGTAGACTCCACCGAAGACACGCCACGTTGCCACGTTTAAGGTCATGTGTGGCATTTACGAAATCGTTTTTCTCCCGCATTGAAGTGACCAACAGTGCTCTCTGCGATGCCTGTAGTCACGACGAGATGCTACATCATATCATGTGTGACTATCCGGTTTATAATTTTCCGAAGAATTCACTAGCGTCCAGTATAGACCGTGCTGACAATAGACAAGTGTCTGTCGAATCAGTTCTTTCATGTCGTTCGTTAATGACATTGCAGTCGAAGACGACCAAGGAACTTCTGAAGTTTTTTGTGAAACACGAACCTGGAAAAGCGACTGTGATAGTGATGTCGCGTTCAACGCCAGATTGATAAACTCTTGCTGGCAAAGTGCTTGTGCACGTACTGTGTGATGTGCTATCGTTCTGTCCATTTCCTCTCTCTTCTATCCCCCTTACAATCTCTCAAGTTCCATTCCCCTGTGTAGGGTAGAAAACTGGTTATCCTGGACTGGTTGACCTCTCTACCTTTGCTTTTCTATCAATTTTTCTATTCTAATAATAGATAAAAAGCGCCATTCAATAACAATAGAAAACTACAGCATAGTATTTTATTAGTTTATCCACACTCAAGTAAGCAAACTGGTGCGTGTTAGAGCACATAACTTGGTTTGAGCATGTAAAGTTTGTAGGATAGTATTGAGTTGATACTGTACAATATACACTATAAATAGATATTGTGGAGTTTCACCACCTATTACCATTCTAAGCGCATTGTTAAGCTCTTAAAGTAAATTTAAGAAAGGTAAACATACTATTGATGGTACTTTGTTTCCACACTATACACGGAGGCTGCGTTATTCAGAAGATCTTTACCTGTCCGAAGCGATTCGTTTTGTGTCATATGTAAAGCTTCTGTCAGTGTACGTGAACCAACAAGCAATCAAAGAGCGAATGTTTGTTTCCCGCTCGCAAACGAGTATTGTAATTACAGCGTGAAGTTGCAGAGCACAATCGCGTTCGCATTCGGGTAGCGCCACTCGCATATTTTCTACTCTGTGAGTTCATGCCGTTCACCTTGCACCGTTTATTATTATTGTTATTGTTTGCAGGCAACACATTCTACGCCCTTAAGCGTTGAGATATAATATAAGGCAGCAGCCAGTGCGCATGCTATTGCCTCGAACAAAATCCATTTTGAGAATGTCAATGTAGACGGAGGGTACTGCGAAACAAACGTTGACGGAGCCTTGTGTAACAGCGCAAGTGAAAAAAACTGCTTTGTTGTCACACTTACATGAGCAGGTATGACGGTCACGTAGTCAATAGTCTTGCAGTTGAAATATTCTGAACTATTTAGTTGGTGCGGCGGTGGAGAGTCTGGTGCTGCAAGAGCAAAACAAAAGCGATATTAAGATCTAACCACTAGAATTTCAAATAATAATAATAATAATATAATAATAATAATAATAATAATAATAATAATAATAATTTTATTATATCATTATTTCATGGGATTTAATGTCCCCAAACCACAATATGGTTATGTGAGACCCCGTTGTAGAGGGCTCCTAAAATTCCGCCCATCTGGTGTTTTTTAACGTGCACTGACATTGCACAGTAGACGGACCTTCACCATTGCCCCTGCTTCGAAATGTGACACCCGCTGCTAGAACCGAACCCTCCACTTTTGGGTCAGCAGCCTAGCAGCATAGCATCTACACCGCCACGGTGGATATTTCAATGTTTGCACCCGGTGGCAAGACATTCCACCGGTGAATTTTATGGGACACTGGACATTGTTACAGCTTTCTTCACACCTGGTCTAGAACGTATTAGAGTATTGTACTTTTACTTCAAAAAATCATGCGACGCCTTACCGTATCACATGTTCGCGACAAAGTGAGTGTGATGGTGCCGAAGAGCTTTGCACCTTGAGCTTTATCAACTTTTTTGTTAATGCCAGACTTTGTAAACTGTCGTGAAAACCTTTTCAAGATCATTCATAAAAAAAATCATTCCACTTTTTCTTCTGAGCCACATTTCTTTCATATGCTATTCAAGTGGTGTGTAAACAGACAAGTATATAAAATCAGTTAAATACCGCTCACGAGGAGTACACAAGGGGCCAAAATAAACAGAGTAGAATAGGTTGCATGTTGTCCTGGTCAAAGTAGCACCAAAAATTTTTCAATGTTTCTCCGGCTGAAGTAATCCTACTTCTTCGTTCTTCAGATCCTTTCGTTAGATTTCCAGGTATAAAGTGACGTGTTTCTTAAAACACGCTGTAACTTTCCTTATTTTTTCTTTCATCACAAGTCGTGTGAGAAACGCTTTGTGGAAGCGTTTCAGTACGTTTTTAGGTCGCCTCTTTTCGCCGCTGTATTTACAGCGTTTAGGTTAAGAAATAATGAATGAATCAATACGTAAAGCAATAACTATAATTACTATGAAATTCGGGTATGCATAGCATCACCACTGGTGTGTTTACAACGATGCAAAGTGTATATAACACTGCAGGGTGTTCTTTCTTTAGGTCGTGATGGTGGTGGCGGTGATATTGCCACAGACTTGGCTATTTTGGAAGGCCAGGTAAACCATTGCTTCGCCTAAACAACACTTTTCGTCCATCGTTCGGATCACCATTCATCACTCAATTATGTCTCTCGTAGAAAGCGTAAGAGAAAGTTAGTCACTTGATATTGTTTCGCATCAACCGTACACGTATATCAGAAACACAATGTCTACGCAGCATCAGTGGGCGAGCTCTCTTTTTTTCATACACGCTTTTTTTTCTTCATACGCACTTCTTGTTTTCTAAGCACCACAAGATGCGTTCGCTGCTCCCCAACAGGAAATGCAAAAAATAGTTCCTCGGTGTTCGGAACGAATATGCCATAAAGATCATTAAAACGAAGTGGCATTTGAAATATGGGAGCGAGGCTGGACAGCTGATAGCTTGAGCCAGACGCATATATGACGATAGTAATACGAAAAAGCCCACTTGCTGCATGTCATCATGCATTATTCAGAATGACCTAGAGGAATGGCACAATCGACCATGCTGGATCGGTCACGAAAGGTACGTTAGTAGAATTGGTGCAAAAAAAGTGATGAGGGGGGGGGGGGGGTCTCCACGTGCTCGGCGAGTAAAGGGACCTTATCTGCGTTATTATGCCAATGCCTTCCGCTCAAAAATGTGGGAAAATAACCGAAATGCTTACAAGTACATAAAACAACTCTTTGAACCGTTTGGGTTGCCGGTAAACGTGTTGCCCTATTTATGATTTACCCTTCTTTGTACCCGTGGCTGGAATAGCGACAAGAATAGCCCACTGTTCCTGTCGCTATTAAAGTAAAAGCCTTCAATGTCTCATAAAACATGAAAATTGACCGTAGACTTCCCGCGTTGGTGGCGGCAACACCAGAGATACGAAAAAATCACCTGTGATGTCATCACATAACGCCAAAATCTGCTACGTCATCACAGCGTCATCACGAAGTCTCATGTCCCATGACGTAGTGCCACATGTTGACGTCATCACGCGACGTCATGGCTTCGTCATAGGTGGACAGATCATGGGGGACGTCTGAAGCTATTGTAGGTTTTGCACGTACAGTCATGATTATCATGTTTCTATGTGTCGTTTACCTTCGTCATCTATTCACGTCACGTGTGACCGAGTTTAGTATATGTGGAGCGAGCCCGCTATGAGCGTGGTATGTTGTCATGTTCTCACATGACACGCGTGTCAGGAATATATGTTTGCACCAGTCATATATTTCGTCATCCATTTACGTCACGTAAAACCAAATTTGGTATATGTGGAGCCAGCTAAACGGCCGCGAGCACTATATGAAGGGCCCAATGTACTCCTATGCAGCGTTGACGCGCGCGAACGCTGGGCACAGCGACGCTACGTTAGAAAAAAATGGCAGCATATCCACGGAGTGAATGATGGATAGTGGGGTGAAGCATCCGTCCATCCGTTCGTTCTTGCTTCCGTCCATCCATGCATGCGTCTGTGTGGCCGCCCGTGCGTCCATCCGCCCGTCCGTGCGTGCGTCTGTTCGTGCGTCCACACGTTCATCTGTGCGTCCATCCCTGCTTTCGTCCATGCATCCGCTCCTTGCTCCGTCCATGCGTCCATCCGTCCGTGCAGCCATCCGAGCGTCCGTCCATGCATCTGCCTGTGTGTCCGTTCGTCCACCTATTCAACACTCCAAGTACCACCATCTCGCATCTTTTTATCATATATTCCTCATATAGAAGCACCGCCATCCAGCGTACATTCTAAGGACTGAACGAGAGGAGGCACACGCACACTTTCTTACGGCTTGCGCTTCCTGTCTACTTCCCACCTTTAACAACCTCGAGTTCATGGTATATACTAGTTCACTGTATTCATGGCACTGCGGCCCAACGCTCGCTAAACCTATCTAAAACCTAGGAGGTTACGCCCAGCGAGTGTGACGTAGCAACTCTTTCTTATCTTCTGTGCGTTGTTGAACGATAAAAAATCGCAGCGTGCGTGTTAACTAAAAGCCGAGTTCTCCTGTATCTCATTTCCCCTTAGCAGCCAGTGGCATGTACATTGAGCACTATCTTTTATTGTTTAACAACGCACAGAAGAAATCTCTCACCAGCACCACCTTGGAGTTAAAATGTTATACTTGTTACACACTACGACGGCTACGAAGAACGAACGGGTACCGCTATAAGGAGCTTCGCCCCTAAAGCGCGAGCACTCACGAAAGTCATGTACGGTACATTTACCCCCACCTCGTAACGTTGTGCTGATTTTAAAATGATATATCAACCTTTCTCATTCGTGCTTCGCATATTATCAATTCCCACTGTACGTGGGATCTGTCAATTTTTGAAAGAAGCATGGCGTGAAATAAATTGGGTATTGTTCGGTTTACCGGACGGAAGATAGTTAGGTACGTCACTCGTTACACTAACGTAAAAACAACTCGTTACCTCCAAAGAAAGGTACTCTGTTACTATGACTGAAAAAAACATAATCTGACATTATACTATGGTCAGAAATTTAAATAACCACCTTGCCTCGAGGAACCCCTTGCAAGTTAACAATGTAACGAAGCGCAGAGTTAATTTTCATGTAAAACGTCCAGGCCAAATAACATTTTTTTTACAGAAATACAAGAATTTTGCACAAGTGTGCTGAACGACAGCACTGTTCTAATTGGTCGGGTTCAACGTAATAGAACCACAATATGATCTTGAGAGACGCCAAAGTGGAAGGCTCCACAAAAGTCAACCAGCTGGGGTTTTTCGCCTTGTTCCTGACTTTGAGCACACGGCCCTTCAGCATTTTCGCCTCTATCGAGAATCCCATGACCTGCGGGTCAGGAATCAAGCTGTAGCTGTAATTCCATGTGATGGCTCTGCAGTTGCAATACATGTAACGGCTTATAGCTTTGTGGCCTACGATGAAGCCGTTGGTCTCAATGTAACATTAATTATGAAATACGATTTGATCATGAAAGACCTAAAAAAACTTGAGCGAACTTTCAAAAAGATTACGATATATAGAGCCATGTTCTACTAATAAGATGGATGCTTAGACATTTCACTCCTAAAAAATGCTAAAATGACTCAGTTAAGAACAAAAATAATTGCCCGGGTATGCAATTTTCACCCTTTCTTGTGCACAACTGCCTAGAAAATTGCAATGCTTAAGGCGAGCTTCGTTCGCTCAAAAAGTTGAGGTAATATGAAAACGTACACCCACATTTGCCGATAGAAGAATCTCATCTTAAAAAACAAAGTTGATAACGAGCGCCACTGTGCTGCACGAAGTTTTTTATAACTTCAACTTGTTGTCGAGCTTGGGCAACAACTGCATTTCTAATAGGTGCTCGAAAGGCCGACAGCAGGCCACTGCTGTGGCAAAAGAACGTCGGGACAAGCCCTTTGAAATCGGTGACCATGAGCAGAAGGATCTTTTTGTAAACTTCCCGGGATAAGTGGAATAAAAACCACATTAGGTGCACGAAATTCTCAATGTTGAAATAAAGCGTAGGGTTTCATCCATAAACTGAGAAAGGAAAAACCCGCAAGGCTTCACGCATTGACTTAAGACGATTCAAAAGCGAAAACTATGTATGTATTCTAGCTGCCCCACCACCTTTCGAAAGCTTCCTGCATTTTACGTGCTGTTCCGTTGGAGGCACATCACATGTCTTTGCATTGCCTCCGCGATCGGGCCACTTTTCAGCAAGCTGCGATGACATGTGATGACATCATCATAGACATTACGCCACGTTACGTGAGTGCTACGTCACGCTGACGTCATAACTTTGGCACGCACTTTGGTGGGGTGGGTCGCTGTCGTGACGTCATAGGGCGTCGTTATCAC